TTAGCTTCAACATGGGGACATGAAGGGCATATCTATTTAACCATACAAAAGATATTGCATTAATACTGTGAAATTTGTTTAAAATTATTTTTCAAGCACAGAGCAAGATTTTGTTGTTTTGTTTTTAAGAAGAAAAAGAGAAAAGTTATTCTAAAGCTTTGTGAATAAATGACAATTCAGTCGAGACAGATTATCAATACATTTACCAACATTCAAGTGAATAGAACAAAGAGAGAGATCTTTTTGAAGGGGGTGAAACAAGGCATTATCTCCAGTCTCTAGGAGACAATTTCTAATATCTAGTCTCAAGGGATTTCTCTGGGTTACAATGAGTTTGCAAAGACAGGACATGAAACCATGGTTTTAGTTATTAACTTAGAAACTGCTTGGCGACCTTACCTGAAGTTGGATATTGCCTTAGGGATTTTCCAGAGGGAGTTCTAGAAGAAATTGTGGCCACTGAGAACCAAAGGAAAGAATTATTAAAATTATTTCCTTGGCAGGCAACTTGCTGAGGACTTCTGTTTCTTGAAACCAAAATCCACTAGGCATTTATGAATTGGTGAGTTTTAATTAAAAAGTGCAATAATCCTGAACACAGTGTTTTCAAAAATCTATGTCCTATTAGTAACAATGCATGCATAACACTGTGCATTCCTAAGCATTTGGACATAAAAATATACCACTGTAATTATGACATTTACAGTCAACCTATAAAAAAATACATGTAAATCTGAATGGTAATAGTTAACTCCTAGCTCTAACCACAAGCATAGAAGATTACTTTAGGATGAGAAAGTGCAATGAGTAATTACAAAATTGACAAAGGCTCACCCTCTCTTGAATTCAACATTCAAGGATGGCTATTAGAACATCATAGTAGCTTCACTTGTCATAAGGCTGGCCCTCACCTCACAAGGTAATATCTAAATTCTGTGAAAACAAATGGGAACGAGAACACTCATGTTCTTTCATAGAAGAGTCATGCATAACTTATCTTCAAAGTTGTTCATGGTCACTGGAAAAAGTCATGGGATCAAATATAAACAAGCCTTTCATTAATCAATATTAAGCATGATTATCTTTAACTATAAAATGCTGAGAATCTTTTAACCAGATTATATCACCTGTAATAAATGTCTTTTATTGTCAGCTGAGTACGCCTTTGAAGATTTATTAACCAACCATCTTGGAGAGTGGAGCTAATATGGCAAGTTCATATTCAAATGTCAATTTTGGCTAGCAGAAAGAAGATCTACATTCTAGTTTAAACCCAAAAGAGGTGTGGTTTTTGAAAGCTTGCAAAAGTCTTTAGGCAGAAAACTCATTTCAATTTAGCAACAGATTCTATTCACTTGAGCTATTCTCCACTACATCATCACTTCTAGGAGTAGACCAGTTCATAACTTGAACACCTTCAGCATTTCACAAACGGACAAAGCCTTAGGAGTAAACTCGAACTGGAAAAAAATTTACCTATGTAAGGATCTCACACAAGCTACTGAAAAAAGCTAAGGTTGGAGGGTTACCTGCAAATCATGATCTCATATTTAAGGATGTGTCTTGGCCTTCTGTGAATAGACTTTTAGAAAATACATGTTTCACAGTGAGATGGGAGGTCTGATGATGCTCAGTCGATTCTTCTTGGCTTTAGATTATTTCAGAGGACTGGGGTAAAACATTTTGGGTGGTGTATCAGCTTTCCCAGAACAAGGAAGCCCATTCCAGAAAAATTATTGCTATAGTTCACTACAGAGTACCATAGTGTCCTGGAAAAGATAAAGTCCCTTCCAAAATGCCACCCTTCTAGCCATTTGGACAGTGAGAAATTATGCTTATTGCAGATGCTTTGATTCTTATATAACCTAAAAGAAAACTGTATTCCTCATCCAAATGAAGAATATATGTACGTAGAAATGATTCTAAGAACTGACCTGTTAGTTTGACTATGCATTTCACTACTCCCATATACATTTGTCAATTAACATAATTTTTTTCTTCATAATAAGTCTGTTCATCTTTGCATGTACAAGAGTTTATTTTAATTATGAGAAAAGAAACCTAAATAGGCACACTTAAAAAAATATAGGCAAATGTATAAAGTGACACACTATTGGAAAATGAGAGCAATGAGAGTTAATGGAATTTCTCAGCTCTTAACTTTTTCAAAGAGAGGTATAACAATTCTGTCTCCACAAGTGATGGAACTGGTGAAAGAAAAATTTCACTAAAACACAAATGAACAAACCTATCACAAACTTCTACTTCAGATAAGAGGTCACAGTCTGGAGGCTCTATTAATGATATATATCTGTTCATCCTATCAGAGAATCTTATGAGGCACAAATGCTACTGTTATTTATAAAATGATGTAAAAACAAGGCAATGTTCTTCCATTATCAAATATATGGGTATTGTGCCAGACAAAGTCAACTGAGAAGACATGGACTATTTCTACTAGAAATCCTATCACCTCAAGGTGATTGTTGTTGGTCATTCAGTCAGCTCCAACTCACAGCCAACTCAGAGCATATGTACAACAGAATGAAATATTGCCCAAACCTGTGCCATCCTCATAAACTCAAGGTAGGACAAACCCAACTCCATTCTGTAAAATAGAACACTGTGCACATGGTTTTCATTTTAGAGACTTCTCTTTCCCTTAACAGTCTGCTAGTCATTTGCAAAAGCATACCTGGTCTGTTACTTCATTAACCTATTCATTTCCAAATACCGCAACAACAACGGGATGGTCTGTTATCTCTTGTCTGAGCTTAAGTGCATTCAGGAGTTATTTCTTTTTTTAGATTTTAATAATATAAATTCATTAAGATATGCAGCCAAAGTTGGTGGGAAATATTAGCCCTCTTTCTGAGAAAGGAGATTACTAGCAGATTTTATAATCAATGGACATTTGCTCAGTCCTACCTGAAAAGGAAATAATTTTACTGCTTGGCATGGGAAAAGGCGTTTCCTAGTAATTTTCTGTGACAGGAAGCACGGCATTAATCCAAGTAAGCACCCAACAGGATAAGTCTATCTGCTAGGGAGGAGTTTTAAACTTTAACTCAATGAACACATTTGCCTCAGTGACGGTTTGGTTTTGTGGGTTTTTGTTTTTTGGGGCTTTTTTGTTTGTTTTTTTTTTTGTAGTTGTGGAGTGGACTGGGGGGAATTATATAACAATGAAAGAATTTTTTATTACTTTTCAAAGAGAAAAGTGAACCAGCCGGAGGGGTGGGCAGGGAGGAAACTATACAACAATGAATGAATGGAAATCCAAAGTCTGTAAACTTTCATTAAAATTAATTTTTTTTTAAAAGCCAGAACAGGGGCAGCAGGCCAGATATTCAGGACAATACTGAAGTCAACCTGAAATTGACTGGCCCACTCCTTAAAAAAAAAGAAATAATTGAGAAGCAGTTAAGAGTTAATAAGTCACCTGTAGAATAATATCATCACCTTAGGAAGTGGAGCAACTGAGAAATACTTTCCTGGTACCAAGAACAATGATTTTGCAGTGATATTTCAGTGGTAACAATGTCCACTGATACAGTGATCATGGCCTAATCATGGATTAATGTTCCAAATATTAATGCATGGAACACATTTGACTTTATAGGATTAGAACATTTTCTTCATGCTAACATAATGACTGGTGACAACCCATTTTATTTTGTTTCACTCCACAAGAAGTTTTCTGTTTACATCTTTCTCCTGTGTTAATTACTATTCCATGGCAGTATTATTTGCACTATCTAAAATGAAAATGCTATTAACTGTGGAATACCCCAACTCACGCACATATGTGCCTATCCTTATACACACATGTATGAACAAAATGCTGGAAATGTTCATTTGCAGTTGGATAAGCTCTCTGAAAGCAGTCATATCAGCCTTCGCAAGTATAGGGATTCATTACAGTAAATGGAAAATCAAATTCAAGTCAATGGAAAAAAAAATCAAAGGAACTATTGAGCTCCAAAATGAGAATCTGAACCTCCTCTACATGGGAATTCATTCAAATGCCTTTGTCTGTCTTCCTAAATCATCCAAAGAAAATGTCTCACAGACTGATAACATCTCATGTAGTCTCTAATGAATTCACATCTCTGTTTATTCGGTTCAATTACATTCTTACTACTTACTGAAACATTTCAGTTGATTTTGAGGGACCACGGATGAGCTTATGTATTTGACCAGGGCTGATTGGCTATTTTAAAGGAAGATCAATGGATCTGCAAATGGACATCTCCTGCTACGCAAACATCAATGGACACATTAAGACAAGTCTAAGTATATGCATATGCATATATATGTAGCATATATACATATATATGTACACATCAAATGGGTCAGGAAGTCCTTTGGTTTACCTCTACAAACCCCCACTCTTGCCGAGTTGTTTCTGACTCTTAGTGACCCTACGAGGCAGAGTAGAACTGCCTCATGGAGTTTCCAAGGCTGTAAATCTTTATGGGAGCAGAGTACCACACCTTTCTCCCTTGGAGCCACTGGTGGCTCTAACTGCTGACCTTTGGGGCTAGCAGCTGAGTGCTTAACCACTGTGCCACCAGGGCTCCTTCCTTTGGTTTAGACGGGATTAAATATGTACTTCCCAAGTGCATAGGTTTCCAATGACCAACCTGTTAAAAAACAAATATGAGAAGTGCCATGGCGAAATTTGACATTTCCGTTCTCCCCTCACCCCCAACACCATTTGAAGGTCCCCTTCTCTCTCTGCCCCATCTCTCCCAAGCATTTTCTTTTTAAAAGGAGTTCATTCTCTTGCCATCTATTTTAACACACCATTGCTTTATCCATTCCCTGGAGGAGCTCTATGATCATGCTTTGCAAATCATCCTTAACAGAGAACACGCTTTCAATGAACTTTCCCCCCCTTTCAAGTTCCTTCATCCTCCCTTGAAGCACATGGCTGGATGTGTCATGAAGAATTCACTCTTGATCTGACTTGCCTTGTTACCTGTGGCCAGCCCAAGCAGCTGAGGTCTGAGCTTTACCTGCCCTGCATCGTTGTGCAATACTTGAAAAGAAAATGAATCCATTAGCCTTGACCCCCTCAGACGGTGGTGACGTGATCAGGGTTCTCCGGGATCTCTATGCATTCAATTTCCTCTCTCTCCTTTCGTTTGGCTCGTTTCTTTTTCTTGTGGTGCTTTTTGGAAGGGGGGAAAAAGGTTAGGAACACAGGTAAAATAACAAAACAGTGCAGAAGTGTGCAACCCCCAGTGAGCAGCAAGCATTTGAACAGTGTGAAGGTCAGGTTCGAAGGCACAAATAGGAGGGGGACCAACCCAATAAGAAAAGAAGTAACATTTTGCAAAATGGCTGTCCCGTGCTCTTGCAGGGAGCTTTTTATACATTGTGTTCGCGTGTGCTCAGTTGCTAATACAAATGTGTAAAGCAGTGGTGCACAGTGGTCAATGGCGAAATTTAAAGTGTAGATAAGGCACAAGATAGAAATGCAATCCATGTCGACGTTCCATAACGTCATTAAGCCCAGAACACCCAGCTCAATTGAGGTGACACTAAGAATCAGCCAGAAGTTTCCCAGAGGGTGGATCACTAGGAAAAAGGTAAGAATTAACACGAGGAGCGCCCCAAAGCCTGCGATCAGAACAGGCACGGTGACAGACAAGCCATAATGGTCCATGAAAACAAAGGAGGGGTTGAACACGATGAACCGGATGCTCTTTGAGAGGGACAGGGGCCTCAGTTTCTCCAACACTTCTACGACTTCCTTCTGCTTGTCTCTGCTCGTCCTGGCCACCAAATACAAGCGGGAGGCAATAATGTTGTTTTCATCCCCCGCCTTGGAGAAGATGATGTCGTTTCGAAAATGCTGGAATTCGGGCTTTTTTAAAAAGGAGCTTTGCAGGACACTGATGAAGTCACTCTTGTTGTTGGCACTGATGTTGCTGACTTTCAGGAACTGGTAATACTGCTCCACCCAGGACACGGTGGTGAAGCCGCTGCAGAGCCTCCGGAGGTCCGCCTGGACGCTGCCGTTCCAGTACTCCAGGGGCTCGTAGACGTAGAAGCCTATCACAGGGCTATAGTTGCTGAAATACTTTTGCTGAACCACAGCATAGGAGACGCTTGGGGAATCACTGGCGAGCAGATTGATGATACTGGTTCCATCACTGATCTGCAAGCAACCCATGAAAGAAAAGGAGGCGTAAATGAGATAGAGGATGACGACAAATGGCTTCACATAGATATTGGTAATCCACTCATTGTAATGCTCACGGAGGAAGTGCTGGATAAAGTGGTGCTGGTAGGGGTTGGTCTCGTGATGGGAGGTCTGCTGATGCCCATCACTCATCACTGTTTGGAACCACACGGGTTTGCGGTCCAGGTACTCTGCAGAAGGGATCTTACAGCAAAAGATGCTGTGGTAGCGGTTTTGCTCGAGTTGGCCGGCGAAGACCAGACAGGAGCCAAAGAAGGAGAAAATGTAGAAGTAGTTCAACAGAATGGAGACACACATGTTTTGGCAAAAGATCTTCACAGCCTCTATGTTGGTGAAGGGGCTGGCACCCATCCCAAAGGTGATGAAGTACAGAGAGCTGGTCATGGTATAGGTGACCATCACATCAGAATAGGCATCCGCCACCCTGTCTTTGAAGGGCAAATTCTCTCTGGTTCTCCGCCATCCAGACAGAAGCTCGAACACTCCTTTAGTTCCATGACCTAATGTTAAAAAACAAAGAAAAAAAAGATTTTTTTTTCTTTTTCCTCGTATAGTTCAAGTGAACTCTTTACAGATTACCTATCCTGAATACATTTTATACTCTCATCTTGAAAATGCTAAGATCTTTCTATTAGGGTCTCAAAATTTGAATTATTACAATAGGATATATTTTTGGTATATCTTCACAAAGTCCTAATTTATTGTTATTCTGAAAAAAAGGAAACATTTATCATCCAGTCTATTAGTTTGAAACATTTGAACTATAATGAATGCTCCCTTATGAAGTGAATTTTTCCCTCTTGAACATATATTATCTCCCTAAATGGGATATATAAATTGACAAAGCCAGGAGCTGTTATTTACCCATATTCAAATATCTTTCACCACCAATTTTGTGTGTATTCAGCCAATTCATTGACTGACAGTCCCTAAGCTCTCTTTTAAGATGACTTATATGCTGATTTAGGAGGGTACAAGATAATTTGAATACTTAAAAATGAATTGAAATTGATTTGATAATGTCAATCATATGCTTGGTAGCCAAATGGCTTAGAAACCAGTTCCTGTAGCTTTGATTAATTAACATTGGATGTGAGTTAAAATAAAATATGTGCCAGGCCACATAAAAGAGGTCAAGACCTTCAGGGCCAGAGGTCACGGCAAGTATTTCCTTTTAGCTCCTCACTGAGCTTATAATCACATAGGACATAGGGTGGGTCCTGGCAAAAGGTGTTTGACTTTCCTTCCCCCCTCCCTTTTATTTGGAACATACACATCAAAACATGCTGAGATTCAACAGTTTCTACACATGCAATTTAATTATAGGGATTATATTCTTTGAGTTGTGCAAACATTCTCACTCTGCTATTCTGAATTATTCATCTTCATTACCATAAACTATCTTATCTTTTAATTTGCTGTTGCCAGTTTTGATCCCGTATAGGTCTTAAAAGGACATAATGCACAATTAACAATTACTATTTCTCCCAACAGTTAAGCTATTTCATTTTTAAGAAAGTTTCTGGGATTATTTTTGGTTTAAGGTTCAAAGATTATTTCAGGACGATAGTTCTGGGGGGTTTATCTACCCTTCATGGCTCCAGAAAGTCTGCATTCCATACTGTTGTTATTAGGTGCTGTTAAATCAGAACCAACTCACAGCTGAACCACAAAAGCTGTAAATCACATGCGTAGAGACTGCCTATCTTTCTCCCATAGAGCAGCCAGGAGATTCAAACCACATGCCTTTGGTTAACAGCACAATTCTATTACCACCAGAGCTCTCTGAGAATCTGATTTTACTTTTTTCTTCTCCCTATAGAAACTATGACCAAAATATTCCAAAACAGTTCTTGGGCCCATTTACTTCTGGTCCCTCTTCATGAAAGCAATTGGCTAATTCCATGATCTCCTCCTACTTCTAAACTGTATCTTTAATGAATTTCTTGCAGAAATTCCTCTTGTTTCAGGTGAACAGAGGCCAACTGTGCCGAGATGGCCACTTGCAAGCTTGAGTAAATGTTTTGATTGCCTCATTAAAGTGGATGAAATGTGTTTCTTTTTAAGGATAAACAGCCAAAGGTTTAATCAATTAGCATTAATTGAGAGTTTCATATTTGCCGCACCAAGAATTATAAAACTTTTAGGAAACCACCACTTACTCCCGTTCTAGGAAAACAAGGAAGCAGCTGGGAAAGGAAAAGCTCATCATCCCTGAGATTCCACTGTTTTTCACTTCAATGAATTGACTCTGTCAATTATCAGCCGCAACTTAACAACTCAGAGAGTACAAACCTTCACAGATCGCTACTGTCCTTGTAGGCACAGCAGGCCTATAAGGGAACCTCTTTGTGATTCAAGCTGTGCTTGGGCTGTTGTGTAAGAAATTCATTAGACAAAGCTAGAGCTTAAGGGTCCCAAATGACCTAGTTTTATTTAAAAAAGGAAAAGAGAAAAAAGAATAGACTTCATGTAGTACTTAGATACTGAACTTAGATGCTTCAGACCCAATTTGTTTAATGAGACATTAACAAAGGTACTGCAATGGTTAAATCACTCTGAAATCTTGCTATAGATAGTGCTCAATAGGTCTAAATAATTCCTCTCCTTCCTCCTTAGTTTTACTTAGTATAGTGGTCCAACTAAAAATATTTCTCGGCCTTACTTCTGTCTTGGGATGGTCTACATAATACGATCCTAGCCAGTGAAATGAGTGCTGATCGGAAAGCTAACACTGTTGTCCCTAAATGGAACTGTGAATTCATCAATAAGATCCCTACCTGCCGTAGTCTCTTCTGGAATTCTCTTTTATATAAGAAGACTAAATTTCTATTGGCAAAGCCATTGTGAGTACTATCATTTTTTCATTTTGTTTAAAAAAAATATTGCTGTTATTGTTATGTGCTGTCGAGTTGCCTGTGACCTATGTTGTTATTGTTACGTGCCGTTGAGTCGCTTGTGATTCATAGCGACCCTATGTACAGCAGCCCTAAACCCTGCTCTATCCTGTGCCAATCTCACTGCCTCTGACACACCCATCCCGATTGCCCCAGTCACTGAATCAATCTACCTCATAGACGGTCTTCCCCTATATAGCAGTTCTGAAGCTTGCCGTGTGCTGAGCCAGTCTCACTAATTCTGACACACTACCACCCATTGTCCCCGTCACTGCATTAATCCATCTCACTGGGGGTCTTCCTTTATTGGTTATGTCTATAATTAGGGAAACATCTTTCATCTGCTCTTTTCCATAAAATGCTTGTTTGCCGAATAATGTTCTAAATCTGAGCATTTAAATTAAGACAGACTAGGAAGGAGGATTGGTCATCCACTTCTGAAATCGGAGACCTTCAAAAATACTATGTACAGTAGAGCACACTTAAACTAACAGATATGGCAACTGAGGCTGAGCCCTCAAGTATGGAAACATGAGGAGGGACAGTTGTAAGCAGACACTAGTGATTAGACCATGGAATGTGAAAACCATGAATGCAGGAAAATTGGATATTGTTAAGAAAGAAATGGAACACATAAATATAGACATATTATGTATACGTGAGATGAGATAGACTGGTATGGGACATTTTGAGTCAGATCGTATTATCTACTATGCTGGAGATGAAAAGGTGAGGAAAAATGAGATTGCTTTCATAGTTAAAAAAGTCATTTCTAGATCCATCCGTCTTGAAATACAGTATTGTGACAGAATAATATCCATACACATACAACAAAGTCCAGTGAATATCATTCAGATATATATATATATATATATA